TTTCCATGACTTTTTGTGTGTTTTATAAGCTGCGTAATCCAAAGTAGTTTATAGATCTCGTCCTTCATGAATACATTCATTTCAATAAAAATGAAAATGACATTGAATCCCAATTGTTATCTAGTATTTAGATGAAAAAAGATCCCAGCGAAAATTTCAGAGATCATATCTTTTAAGAAGCGAAATTATTTTTTAAAAAGTGTAAAATCTGATTCTTCAAAATTATAAAGTTTTATTTCTATTCAGTAACTTAATTGGCTCGGTTAAATTTAGTCCAGATGTTTTATTATTTTGTCATAATGATTTTAATTGCAAATGGAAATAATATTAACATAAACATTGGTAAACTAATCCACATATCGATTCCGTAATATACTTCAGATTATCATTGAAGAAAGTCATTTTATAGAATAAAGTCTTCAACTTTAAAAGATTGGCTACAGGCTATTTCATCAGCTTATTTTGTTAAAGTAATGATGATAATGTAGTGACATACTTTTATGACGAATAAGCAATCGGTGCAATAAAAACAATTATTATTATAACCAATTGTACCAGTGATTGTTTTACTGTACTTGTTTGTTTAACTGTACCAAAAGTACTTTTCCTTCTGCTATCCATCTTGTTTGTAGGAACGAGCTTACGCTCCACTGTTTTGCTTGTAAGCTTTGGCACGTCTCGGTATTCTTTTGATACCACAAGATCGTCAATAAATATATCTTATCTGGACCATTAACAGCCTTACGGTATTTGGCCTACCTAGGGATCCAAGTAGATATCTGGAACGTAATCTTATTGTAATGGTGATCATAGTCAATCGCGACTCGACCCCTATCTACAATAAGTTTGGGTGCTCATTATACACCAAACTTTTATTGACATTATACCCGGGAGATTATTGATGATATTAAAAACAAGGGCAAAAGGACAAACTATAGGGGTTCAACTACTCAATTACTGCATGCTGTGCGTAGGACGAAACCCGAGTCCTAGATTTCACTGCTTGCCGCTATCCATCTTTGCTTATAGTACTTGTGAATTAAGGCTATATCAAAGCAATACGCACTGTATGCACATATGCCAATAAGAAAATTATCCATTTCAGTCCTAAACATCAATGGGAAGATTCAAACAAACAATACCAAGTGAATTTCATTTTGGTACGTGTTCACACATCCTAATTTTGAGATCACGATTGCTTCTCCCTATGTATGTGTGACCACACACACATTTAAATTGGTAAACAAAGTGTGGTGTGACACAATCCTTTTCATGTCTTTTAGGTTTAGGATGAAGCATGAACTTCGTTCTTTCTTTGATAATGACCTTTGCTTCACAATACTTTTTGTTGATTACTGATTTAAGCATGTGTTTCAATAAAAGGCTATTTGAATCACCTCTAAATGGTAAGGTGATGTAGACAGGCTTTCTCTCCACCAAGACTACAGTAGGTCTCATTGTGCCATGAACTTTCCATCTATTGATAAATTTAAGTGGATAACCATTTCCCATTAATGCCTTGTTTAACAACTTAACATCATCAACAATAGCGTTCTTTATAATTTTTCTCAAACTCAGTCCAATGTTGATCTCAGCCATTTACAAATATTCGTTACAATTTACATTCTAGTTGTTGTCCAGCAACTTTGAGTGTTAATTTGTTGAAAATGACTCAATATGTTTCAGATTCGTAGAATTCCAAGATTTTCTATATCAAATTTATAAACAAATTGATTAAAAATAACATATTTTGACCTGCTATTGTTATATGGCATTAATTGATTTTAGATCAGAGGGGGTTTTGTGGAGAATTTAGTATTTTCACAGTTGAAGTCATGAGTCAATTGAAGCTAGACCACCAACGAAAACCTGGAAGCACTGGACGGTCGTTTCGTCCTATTATGGGACTCCACAGCAGTGCGCGTCCACGATCCCCGCACTCGCGAGATTCGAACCCAGGACCTACCAGTTTCGAGCCGAAGCCCTTAACCGATAGACTGCTGAGGAGTCCCATAATAGGACGAAACGGCCGTCCAGTGCTTCCAGGTTTTCGATGGTGGTCTAGCTTCAATTGACTCATGATTTCAACTGTGAAAATATTAATTGATTTGTTAAACGTCTTTGTGATTAACGCAGAGAGAGAGAGAGTAGAGTTTGTAGTTCGGGCACCCTCTTTCTGGATCTTTAAATTTACACCATATTTCATGCAATAGTCAGGTGACCTCGATCACCAGAAGACATAGAATTATTATTCAGACATCGTGTATACAGAAACTATTTTAAAATTTACAGTTCCCTATATCTTCTGGAATGTGTAAAAGCATTGTTAATGGGAATAATTATCCAAGATAAAATGCTTTTTAAAACCATTCGCTCTGGTCACGGAAAGTAGAAAATAATTAGTGAATTTAGTTTGTTATTAATTTCTATAAGATTAAAAATCTGTGGCTAAACAACATCGATTTAAACATATACAAACTATGTATCTCAATAGCTAGGAACATGATTACAGCGGACTTGAGTTTCCTGAGATCATGTGTAGTAAATATTTTCATCTGCATTTCCGTTAGACAAACAATTGATGGATACGGTTGTTTTTTTTAGGATTTCCTTTTCAATGGATCATATGTACTCAATAGGGTTACTTTGATTTAAAGTCACATTTACTAACATGATTGATTAATTGTGGGCATGTGATGAGAATATAGTATCAAAAAATTGTCTGGAATATCGGCATTCAAAAAAAACATTTGCACAAGTTTTTCGCTGCATGATAAGCTTTTGTAATTTAGACAAAAATATACGTTTTTAATGTTGAATGGAATGTATCAGAATGCCGGGGAACATTTATCATTGTCAATAGATCATTTATGCTTTTGTTCTGCATGAGATAAGTATATTAACTTCTAGTGTTAATTACTTATTGTAATGTACTATGAGCGTTTATGTTTTCTATGAATGGACTTTAATTGTTAAAACATCAAGAAACAAGAGGCAATGTTTTTGGACTATATTGGAATTTATAACTGGGGCGTACACATAACTTTAGAGTCAAATCAAGTATCAGGAGGTTTTGTAACAAGCATGATACTCCTAAACTACGGAGTTAACACAAAATAATTTAAATTTCAAAGAAATTAGTAGGCCTGACAACTATCTGTTGTCATCGTTGATATATGTCTGGTTCTTGAGTTGTGAAAACTACACCTGTAATCGCTTCACACCGAAACTTTAACAATTAAGACACTTTTGAAACTGAATGATTCTCACGACCATGTAAAAATTATTTTATTTATGACAAACTGTTTATCTGAAGCATATGAATAATAAGTAGTTGTTTGAAAATACTCAAGTAGATTGACAAAATGAGATCTCATGTAATCGCATGAGCTATTTCGATGATTGCCTTGAAAATAATTCAAAACATTTGAGAAAAAATTGCCAAAATAATTAGGGAATAATTCATTTGTATTTGTTGTTTGATTTTTTTGGGTTAGCAATTGATCAGTTTCTTTTTAGCATGGGCGCAGATTGCATCGATATTGTTATTTAGTCACAAGGATTATAAGTAGAGATGGGTGGTGGCCACCAATGGAGTCCAAGATGTCAATTTTACCCCCATTTGAGACCCGTCAGCTGACGTTCATCCCAGGACTCGAATACAGTACCACTCAGTTTGCATGCCATCGCACACATTGCACAAGTCAGTGGGTGTTCGGACTCAGTAACTAAGTGGATAATGCGATGGAGTTTATAATAAACGGTACTGGGTTGAATATCTGGAGTGAACATCAGCTCTGAGATGTAGGTTAATCCGACTAACGTGTCCCATAGTTAGGGATTAATTTATTGCTATTCAGAGAAATGATTTACAACACTTTGTTTGACTGATACATTATTTAAATTTGTGACAACAGTTTATAAGTATACAGGTGTATCCCCAAATTCGATGTTTTAAACGAGGATGCAATGAGTATAATTGTTATCATTTGTGACCTTGTTCCCCTATCAGTATGTAATATAAAGATACCACCAATTGAAGGACAATGATTTATCGACCGAACCAATCACATATAAACCCGTATGAGCATTCTAGAGTTCTTATCGGTCCTTCCTCCTGCCTACACCTGCCTGCGGAGTCCAGAACACCAATAACAGCCTCTGCTATATGAATCATGTATTTCAAACATACTGGGTTTATATACAAACCAGATAGACTATATCACAACATAAAATGGAAAATAACATTTGTACAAGATCTAGCCCAAAGTGGTTGTGAATGTGGGAGATTATCATTAATAGACTGGGCATAACTTAAGAACAGAAATCGTATAATCATAGTCTTTGGGTCAAAATAAACTTAGAATGAGAGAAACATGTATATGCATAGTTTAGTTACTTAACAATTATACAATAAGAATATATGTATCGTAATAGTTCACAAACAGTTCTCAAAAGTTACCATTCATAATTCTCGTTAGGATATAACAATAATAATAATAATATAGATCAAAGCTAGAGAAATGTATTCTAAATTGGTTGGAGTTAGACATAAACACCATCGGATACTAGCTCAATGATCTATCGGTTAAGTGCTCTGGCGCGAGACTGATAGGTCCTGGGTTCGAATCTCGAGAGGCGAGGTCGTGGATGCTCACTGCTGAGGAGTCCCACAATAGGACGAGACGGCCGTTCAGTGCTTCCAGGTTTTCTCTGGTGGTCTAGCTTCAATTGACTAACGCTTTCACTTAGTATTGTTTGTTTGAATCCTCCCATTGATGTTTAGGACTGCAACTGGTCAGTCTCTAATCGATATATGTGCATACTGTGAGTATTGCCTCCATATATCCTTAATTCACAACTGCTGTAAGTTGAATGAATCTAAAAAAATTTCTTTAGTACATGTTAATATTAACCAATCACATCGCTACAAAATATTTTAACCAATGAACAATTTCCTTTTAGAATTTCAAATTAATTAATTTAGTAATATCAGTAATAATTAAAAAAAGAACAACAGCAATGGAAACATACATTTTCTAAATTTTCTTACAATAAATTCAATGAAGATGGATTAAAATTTTGATAATAATTTTTTTTTGAAAAAAATTCATGGATTTTTCACAAGCCACCCTCAGTTACTGTGAGTAAGTGTTCATTAGATTGGGACAATTAAATGTTATATATATGTATATAGAATCTGTTTTGTGAAGGTGAATTTGTAGTTGTTCTACAGATTGGGTTTTTTAAAAAAAACACTCGTTTGGAATGTAATAATTTTGTTTTAACTAATTAAATTTTTAAATTATGAAAGATAAATTATTAAGAATATTGGTGGCATATTTTCAGTACTTCAGGATCTTTAATGATTATCTAAGTTTGATCCGTTTATAATTCTAATTAAATTCAATAATCACTATGAACCATCATTGATGATATGAAATAACTGTCCGATATTTATTACTTTTGTAAAATAACAATGATATTGTTTGATGAAGTCCACTTTCAGTGAAGAGTAAACACACTTCAGGTTCCATATCGCGTACTTGAAAAAAAAACCTAAAAGAAAAGTAATTTAACAGAGTTTAACATTCTATAAAATTAAGTTGAATCATTTTGTCTAAGAACCCTACATTACATGTACATATATATGGAAAAATCAGCTGATTTTTGAAATTTCTTTAGATCAAACTACATCTTAAAGTTGTTTTGATAGTTAAGAATTTAAACAATTTTGATTGAACAAGTGTATGGGTTTAGTCACCATCATCTATTCATTGTTCTGTTTGAAAAAACAATAGAACTCAATACTTTATTAATAAAAACAGTCACGAAAACTGTATACACTAGTTGGATGAAATTTATTGTCTTCTATATAAGAACTTTTGTCTAAATTAGACCGAATACTTTCACAGTATTTGGGCGCCGATGTGGTTCAATCTTGGACCACATTGCCAGGCTAAACGTTGGATTTACTTCAAATTCATTCGCTCAGATTATACAAATATATTATTCCTATTTATTGCCTACTGTCGAGAGAAATTAGATTTGATTTCATTTTTACTTTAAAGTTTACATAACTGATTTATCTGATTTAAGTCAGTGTTTTAAACTAAATCAATATTTTTTTTGATAAATTAAGCCCCTACTTATCATGCTTTATCAAGCGCAATAAATAGTAAATATTTTTCTGTTTTTCTTCAAAAAAAAGTGATCATCAAAATTAATGTTTCGAGTCTGGAGAGAAAAATAACTAATTACAAATTTAACGAATAATATTTTAAAACAAACTTCAATAGTGTTACAGATTTTACAAGATCAGCTAAAATCACATAGAATATTATACACTGTATTGAATAAAAGTACAGATGAATGAAATGAATCAAGTATTGTGTTCCGTTAACATAATCTTCTCACATTAGTATCAATCATAATGATCATAAACAAAAGATTTTTCACTCCGTTTTGTTTACTTGCATCTTTCCATTGTTATTTAGGACTGTGATTGATCAGTCTCTTATTGGCATCCGTGCATCCTGTGCGGACTGCCTCCATATTGCCTGAAGTAAAAAGCATTATAAGCAAAGATGGATAATGGCTAGCAGTGGAATCCAGAACGAGCGTTTCGTCTTATTTGGGACTCGTCAACTGGATGTACTTGCATTTCAGAGTTTATGTTCACTCCGAGACTCGAACCCAGTACCGTTCACTTCAAATACCATCGCGTTATCCACTTAGCTACTGAGTCCTTATAGCCACTTCCTTGTGTAGTGGGGTGAAGTTTAAATTCACTTGGTGTTTTTTTTATTAAAAAAACAGGATTTTGTTATATCACATTACATCTCCAAATATGATATTTTGCCTAATTCCTTAAATAATTTTAAACAGTAAATAACTTTAATAATCTATTACAAAGGATTATATATTTAATTTATGTAATCCCCAATAAAACTAAAATAGTGTTATTTATGCAGTTAGATAATAAGAAATATTTTGTCATTAACGTTATACATTGGTTATTTCATCATTTTCCAACTATATATAGTAACTTAAGGCAGTTATTAATGATTTGAAATGATGGATCAAACATTTACTTTCCAAAAAAAAGTTCTGTTCCTCAGTTTAATGATTATTTTTATATTTATAAATCAAATAGATAATACAATCATTTGTCTCTCATGCATATACACTCTTTTCATATAAAGTAGTATAATGTGCTTACCAAAATTTTTCTAATTTTTAGTTTACACTGTGTTACTGTATACATCATAAGGATTTATTATTATTATTATTATTATTATTATTATTATCAATATCTAACTTATGATAAGTTTTCTGTCATTCCTTTGGGAAAAAATAGGATAAGATTGGAGTATATATCCATATATTTACATCCTTTACTTTCTTCGTATGATCTCTTCTTTATGCTTATCAGATTTTATTAAAATCACATTGATACTAACAATATTGGTAAACATGTAGTATGATGGTACATTTCCGTCTCTATGGAGTAATGATAAATTTAAATAATAAACTATTCAGACAGTGGGGTTTTACATTTTGAAAATTATTTATTTATCAAAACTAAAAAAAGTGAATGATTAAATCACATTTTTATTGTTCTTCATTTTGTATTATGGCAACACTTTCTTTTTCTCAAAAGAAGAAATCATATTTTGTTTATTTTAAAAGAATACTTACTTACATACTTTCGTCTTCTACCCTTCGTGGAGGAGCATTGGCCGCTCACCAGCGTTCTCCATCCAACTCTGTCCTGGGCAATCCCTTCCAGTTCATACTGATTATTGGTGCTGAGTAATTTTTAATGTCAGAAAGGAGGCTTTTTGAAGATTATAGTAATTTTAATAGTTGAATTCATGAGTCGATTAAAGCTAGACCACCATGGAAAACCTAGAAGCAGTAAAATGCCGCTTCGTCCTAGTATGGGAATCCTGAGCAGTGCACATCCACAATCGATCACGTGAGATTCAAACCCGGGGCCCTCAGTCTCGCGCTCAATTGCTCAACCTCTAGACCACTGAGCTGACAGACATCCAACGGTGTTAATGTCTTACTTTAAGTAATCCATGAAATTATGCCACCGGCCGGCTCAGTGGTCTAGAGATTAGGCGGTTGGGTTCGAATCCCATGTGATGGATAGTGGATGTGCACTGCTCAGGAATCCCATACTAGGACGAAGCGGCATTTTAATGCTTTCAGGTTTTTCATGGTGATCTAGCTTTAATCGACTCATGAATTCAGCTATTAATTTTTAATGATTTGTTCATTTATAACGCTTATAAAACTTACTACAAGCTTCAAAAATTCAAGGGTTTAAAACTTAATCCAAGTTAACAAATGATATACTAAGATTAATATCTCATTTTGTAATCAGTCATTTTTATATGAGACAGAAATTAGTTAGAAGAAAATATTCAAAATATGAAAAGCATGTTTTATGCGACAAACTAAGGATTGTTTACAGATAACTCATTGGAAAATACCGTTGATTTTGTCATTATTATCTTAAATTATGTTTCCATATTTGTTGTCCTACTGAGATTATTTTTCTAAGTTTTGATCGACTTACGTCTTCACAACTAAAACGATTACGGAGGACAAAAGAAAGAATGTACAATGATGAAAAACTGCTTTGAAGTTCACAAATTGAATAGTGTGGTAAAACTTGAGATTAGACGTCTGAACTCGATGTTTTCTCAGAAACTTCTATCTTATAAAAACGTCTCAATTATGTGGGAACTATTAAAAGTTTGTAGGTGAGAAGCACATTAGAAACAATAGCCGATTGAATGTTATATTTAGATCCATAGCAATAACTTCATCTTTTCTCGAAACAATGGAGAAAAATTATTGTTACCTCTACTTCAATCTCCAGTAAAAGAGTACAGTGATTCAAATCAGATTGCTCACAAATACAAATAAAGCTTGTACTATTTGAAATTCTGTAATAAAAACAGTGTCAAAAGCCATTCTTCTTGGTGTACGTATTTTTTCCGACCTCTATTGATCTTCTTATGCATTATTGATATCAAAGAAAGTTTACCATCTGGCTTACTATATAAAGAGGATGCATGTTTCTGGCATTACTCGATATCTACTTTTAGGATCTGTAAATTCTTTGATATTGCCTATCAGGTTTTACCGTTTTCTATTATTCTTTCACGGGGTTTTGAGAAAACATTTTGTTGTGTTAGGGAGAGTGCTGAAGGTAGTTAGCAGCGTATGGTGAATCTTTTAAATCATTATTAGTATTTTTGTGGACAAATTGAATTTTGATTAGTACCTTTAACTAAATTGAAAATATAGATTTTCTAGAGCTTGAACCCTCGCGCACGAGACTGATAGGTCCTAGTGTAGTGAACAGAACACTGGTTGGGGACAATCGAATGTATTTAAGCAAACATTACAGACTATCTCAGTAAATTCCGATAACCAAACAATGAACAGTCAATTTGCAAATTAATAACCATTTGTTTCAATCTTCATTGTTTCTTGTTCCATTGCTCATGCATTTTCAAGACGATTGCGCTTCATTTCAGTACTTTCCTCATCGGTCTTCTGCCAAAATACATTCTACGTCTAACCCACACCATATACTACTTATATAGATATAAGTAGACAACACCACACTAGGTTCGAATCTCGCGAGGCGAGATCGTGGATGCGCATTGCTGAGGACGAAATGGCCGTCCAGTGCTTCCAGGTTTTCCATGGTGGTCTAGCTTCATTTGACTCATGATCTCAACTAAAGAGATCTTCTGATTCAGAAAACTGATAGACAACGTAAAAGTTTTGAAAGTACTTTTACAGGCTTCTCAAAATTTTTGTCTGGCCAGATGTTATTTCTAAAAACAAACACTTTTGTGGTGAATTGTTTTAATGTAGTTAATAAAATGCATATGATCATTACTGAATTGTGACTACTTTTTGTTGTCACTTATATTCATAAAGAAATTAGTAATTGGAAATCCTACTTTACTATTCAGTTTTACAAAATTAAAGTCGGGAACTGTCGTAAAACAGGAAGTATTCCATAAGTATTTTGCTATAAATCTAAACTCTTTGAAATTCTTCATACATAACCTGATTTAAGATTGAATTTATGATCTTGAATAAAGCCTAGCTG